TCCCCCTTGTCCCCTTCTGTTTATCTCCCTGCTGGTGGCATTCCAAAAGCCTGATCTTTAAGCAGATGGTCTTGGGAAACTGATTTGTCAGAGCATTTTTTTTTTCCCCCCCAAACTGCTGCTGTCTCTGAGTCCTCCCTCTAAAATTGTACCAGGTGACTTCTTGTCCTGGGAACGATGGAGCTGCATTGTCCCAGCAAACTTCTGACAGTGCAGGAACAATGCACTGACAATTAAATCAGAACCTTGATTTCAGCCACAGCTCCCGAGTCATGCAGTCTGAGTTTCCACATTCATCACTCTGGATGTGGAGCCCAGAGCTCAGCACTGGCTGGCTCTGGAAAAGCTCTGCAAGAGCCACTTGGCTGAAGGTGGGGCTGGCAGGCCTTGGTGTCCTACAGAGAAGGTCAGAGCACCCACGCAGCTCCTGGCTGAGTTCTTTCCCAGGGAGTCCTTCTTCCCCAGGATGTCTTTGAAAGCAGGAGGCTCTTCCAGGCAGGCAGGGTCTCTGCAGGCTGAGGGCAGCCCTAAAAGGCTCAAAGCTTTCCTAAGCAGCAGCAGAGGCTGAGCTGCAGGAAGATCTCCCTGAAATCAGCCCCTGTGACCGATAACAAACTCTTGCTGTGCAAACCCAGCCCTCTGAAGATCCATGAGGAAAAAACAGGCACATGAAGCTGTTAAAAACCTTCTGCATAAAAGCTACCAGCAACAGCATTGTGCTGCTGTGGTGCCAGGTGCATTTTTGTCAAATAATAAATTTCAGCTTGGTCCACACCTACTTCAAAGGTATCCATTGCACCTCCAGCCCCTCTCCGTGGGGTTTTTGAGTCAGCAACAGCACGGAGCCATCCCAAGGGAAAGGTGAGCAGGTAGCTTGCCAATTCATCAGGAACAAATCTCTCCTTTCTTTTAGTTCTTTCTCCTCTGGTGAAAGGGAGAAATTCCTGGCTCAGGACCAGCACTGCATCCAAGGCAGAGCTTCATGCCACGGTGAGGGCAGGAGGTGCACGCAGAAGAAAAGCAAAGACGTTTTAATTCCTCTTCCTGGTTTCCAGGGAAGTGGTTCAGGTTCTAACCAACTTCTAATTACTCACCACCTCCACTAAAAAAGTTACCATGCTCTGCCACATCAGCATTTTAATAGAGCATTATTTAACCCCATGGCTGCAGGTTAAGTAAAATCAAAGCTGAGACATCAGGGAGGAAAGAAAGTGTGCAAAGAATGTCCTGGGGAGCACCTGCTCTTCAAAAGCTTACAGGCAGAAGAAAAACTTTAAAAAAAAAATAAAAAAATTGCATTTTCCCAGCTGAAATTGAAGAAAAGGCCCCAGCTTCCCATGCAGAGCCTGGAGGAAGGGTCAGTGAGCAGGATTTATCCAGCTTCTCTTGAGCATCTCAGTTTCAGCTGCACAAGTCTTAGGAGGGCTTCCCCTGGGTGGTTCTCCTCATCCTGGTGTTTGCTCTAGGGCAGATCCAGTGAACCTTGGACAGGAGGGACTTGCTGTTCCCTTGGCCTAACAGGAAAACCCCTGGGTGGGGAGCCCAGTTTGTCACACTCCCTCTGCTCTCCCAGTGTGGGGGCTCAGTGCCATCCACTGTGCCCCGAGATTCTGCCAGCATGAGCTGAGACAAACACCACAAATAAAACCTCCTTTAAACCCAAGTGCCAGTGCCCACCTGGCCCACCCTTCTCAAAAAATAAGAGTTGGGATTTTTGCTGCTGCACACAACAGTTTTATATTTATTGTAAGAATTCACATATGTGTATGTGTGCAGGACAAAGAGCAGCTTTCCCCTGGTGCACAGTTTAATGATGCAGTTGAATAAGCCTTTGCCCTCAGGACCTTTTTTTTGGTGGTGATGGAGCAGGGAGATGCTCTGTCTCCACTCAGACCAGCTGGAGAACTGGTTTCAGAGCATTGGCTTCCCTGTGGAAAGTGGCAAGATTAATATTAACTACCAAAAAGAAGGGACTGTTTCAGTTTTGTCCCAGTTCAGACCTGCAAACATGACATCAAGCCTGGGAAGAGAAACCCAGAACTTCCATTAAAAAAAAACCCAACAAAACAAATCAAAAAACCCAAACAGGTTTACCTTTTGGATTGCAAATGAAAAGCCCTGGACCTAAGCAGGTGCTCTGTGGGTGACTGCACTTCCACCTCTGGCCCAGTGAGATGTGAGAGGTTTATTCAGAGGGAAATTTTGTTTCTCAAGCACCACACACCTTTTTGGTAGCAGTGTTACCCTCCAGGCTTGTGTTCACACCTCACCTGCGCTGTGTCTGTCACTGTGTCACCCAGCCCTTCCAACCCCCAGGGGCTTGTGAGGCTGCTCTCAGCTTCTCTGGGCAGAAGTGAAAGCAGAGAGAGCAGCACATCACCTGGAAGAAGCCAGGTGAATAAAACACCCCTGAGAACACTGTAAAAGCAGTTTTAGACAGAGTCACTCTTCCTGGACAATCTTTTTCACCAGGAGTTGCCAATGGGAGTTTTGTCTGAGCATCAGGAAGGGAACCAGACATCTGAAAGGCTGGGATGGGTGGGATAGCAACAAAGGAGAGTAATTCAGGCCTCTAGCACACTCCCAAAGTACCTAGATAGTCTCTCTAACCCAAAAAAGAACACAATTTCCAGCACTGCCTGTTTTCTACCCTGTGCAGCTGTTTTTGTAAGAGCAGTTTTAAATGAAGGGCCAGGCACAAACCTCTCCTTTCATCCCAGGGCATGGCAACAGGACATTTTTAGGTAGAAGAGGTCGACTGCTCTGAATAGCTCCTGCCACAGGAACTGCCCAGGATGGAGCCCAACCATGCAATTTAAGGTCCCCCACGTGCCACATCCCTGACATGGATATAAGGTAATGACAAGTTCCACTGTTGCTGTACCCAGCACTGCCTCAGATATGCCTGGAGAGGCTCAGATAAAGGCAGATAACAAATGAGAGGGTTTCTGTTACAAGCAGAGATCCTCAGCAATCAAGGCAACTGAACTGGATTCACGTCACTTGGTGCCTGGACTTTTCAGAGTGAAAGATGCCAAAGACTTGAAATGACAAATATTCACCCCTTTCTGCATCCCTTTCACATCCAGAATGGGTGGAATTACAGTAGAAAGGTATAATCATCCAGGATAAACCACAATTAGGCCCATTTCCAGGGTTGTATTATATGGAGAGAGAGCTCATGAGAGGAGAGGTTTTAATGAGTTGTGGGAGAGTGTTTCCCCTGGTGACTGAAGGATCTGCTCCTCTGAGGGGACAACAGAAGTGGAAAAATATACATAAATAAACAAAGAGAGAAACTTTGGGTGTGGTGTGGCTACACTGGAGTCCTTCCTTGGGCAGATGGACATTTCAGACATGGAAAGCCCAGCCTGAGGCTTGTGTCAGTCCAGTGAGGATCTCAGAAGGCTGACACAAAAATGTCATGAGGGAGGGACCTTGAGGAGGGTCAGTGGTGGCACAGGTGTTCCCCAGGGGTGACGAAAACACATCTGGGTCAGGAAGCACCAAGGCTTTGGCTGTGCCCTGAGCTCCCTTCACTGCACCGAGCATTTCTCTTCCTGCTCTGCTTCCAAGTGGGTCACCAGGTATTTAACTCTGTGGAAACTGAGGGAAGGCTTTTGGTCCAGCAGGATGTGCCCAGCACAGAGCCCCAGCATATTTCCAAGCATGGGGCAGGTGTCCAAGCCAGCCTCCTCCTCAGCTGGGGATGGATCACCACAGGATGGGTGGTCCATCATAGAAAAGATAACTTCCATGCTCAAAGTGCAGAAACACTTGCACAGCTCCATGGGAAAGACCAGGAGACAGCGTGGAGATCTTCAGCATCCCTGGCCATGCAAGAGCAGGGATTTACTGACAGCCTAAGCCCCAGGACACAGGAGAAGGCAGGAGATCAGGGTGACACTGCTCACAGCCATGGCACAAAACCTTTGCTCCCAGCTGGGAGAACTTGGCAATGCTGCCTCAAAGTCCTGCCTGGGAAAAAACATCGTGAAACCTCCGAGGAGCTGGAGGAGGATAAAGGATCCTGATTGTGCAGGGAGGAGGAGGAGGAGGGGAGGCTCACCTGGCTCTGCCAGGAGGAAGGTGAGGGAATACAACTACAGGGTTTTTCCTGCTCTGCCCGTCCTTGCATTGCCTTCCACCTGGCATCCCGGGGGAACGATAAAACCCCTCGAGTGCCCTGTGATTGTCTAATCTCTGCTTTGCAGGCTCTAATCAGCGCATTTGGCTGCGGTGTGTAAAAAGCACCTGGATGATTCACCCAGCATCTGAGTGCTGCTCTGGCGGGGCCAGTTTGCTTCAGCTGCTCTAACACTTGTTTACATCTGCGTTAGGGCAGCCTTGAATAAGCGTGAACCTCCCACAGATGCTAATTCATATCAGCTCTCCTTTGTGTTAAATATTTATGTTCCTAATAGGCACGCCTAAGAAAAATACTGGCAAATGAGGCCGCAACTCAACTCCATTACAACTCAATTTTACCTCAGTGCAAGTCGCATCTCAAACGAGCAGGATGAGAACAACATTCTATTTACAGAGCACAGCAGCCCGGCCATTAGCGATCTGTCGATGGGATGACAATAAAACCCATCGGTGGCAACTTCCAAAGACTTTCTGTGGCTGCCTGGACCCCCAAAAGCAGGCGAGATTTGGGTAAATCCCCACGGCAGCAAAACACAGAACAAGCCAGGCCCAAAGAAAACGCTGGTAATTGGTCGCTGCAGGAAATCAAAGCCAGTTTGTGCAGAGAGCTAAAGGAAAAGATGTGTCCTGACACGGAGCTCCTGGCAAGCTCAGAGCCGCTTCTTCCAGCCCCAAACGATGTAAATCAGGGTGGGCTCCTTTCAGCATCCTGCCTTGTAACAGGGGAAGGATTGGTTTTATTTTTAAGTGTGGAGGATATTAATTTTTTTGTTTGTTTCCTGCTATCCCAAGTAAGAAAAGTCCTGAAGCAGCTGTGGCCGATTTAAATCTGGCAGGGTGCAGATTCTTACCTGGCTGCAAAGTGCTCGGTGTCCTCGCAGGTGCCCCTTGTCCACCGAGCTCCTTCTCTCTGCTCTCCGCCGAGTTTCAAGGCACTTTTGTTCACTGTTCTGCTACCTTGTCAGCTCGGGAACAGCACTGTTCGGTAATTCAATCCTCTTCTTAACCGCAGAGACACTCCTACCCGGAGATCACACCCATTCCCAGGCTCACGGAGGGACAAAGAGGGAGCCGGCACGGGAGAGTTCCAACCAACTCTGCGTTTGCATCAAATATCCGCCGCTCTGAATTCGCTGAATAATGATTAAGTGCTGCTTTCATTAAAAACCTGTTTTGTCCAGGTTTAGGAGGGTACAGGAGGGATTTTTTTATTTTTTTTTTCCGCCCTGTTCTCGGTCTCTGCGGGACAAAGCAAGGTGCGGTGCGGGGTTAACTCTTGGGGCCAAAGAGCTCCAGCCCCTGGCTCTGGCTGTCCCCAGATTTGGCAAAGCTGTTCCGAGGGGAAAAGTTCTGGGGGAAGATCCCTGCTTTTCTGCTCCCTGCAAGGCCGAGCTGGCTGTCCCTGTGCTCACAAGGACAGGGTGAGGATTAGTGACTGGGATGGGGATGTAACAGAGCATTGGAGTGTTTAACTGGGCTGCCCTTCCAGGAGCAGAGCAATGATAAACCAGACAGCCCCAGCAGAGTTTGCTGAGCCACCTTCAGCGGCAGAAAGCTGTGTGAGTGGACACCTGTAGCTTATTGCTGAGGAAAAAATGACCTGTGAAGGAGGGCTGTAATATTGCAGCCACTGAAGGCTGCCTGATGTGGCTGGCTGGGGGTGATCTGAGGAAAAACCATCTCCTGGCATTCCCAGCTTGCATTCCTGCCTGCCATGTGCGTGGTGCTGCTCACTGCTGAAGGAACATCCCTGTCTGGAGAGGGCACTGCTTGGTACCTTGTCATCACCCCCAGCTCTGCTTTTGGGGGACCCAGGGCAGTGTCCAGCTGTGTTCTGCACATCTCTGAGGATGGAGACTTTTGGGGGACCCAGGGCAGTGTCCAGCTGTGTTCTGCACATCTCTGAGGATGGAGACAACACACAACCTCTCAGAACTGGGAACTATTCTCACCCTTCCCTTCGGATACATTTTTCTCTTGTCACTTCCTTAATTTTCTAGATTAGCCCCCACAATCTGAAAATAAATATGAATCAGCTCACCAGCTAAACCAGCTGGCTGAATAGGTTTAAACCACAGTTTCCACAGGTCTCATCCACTGACCACTCTTAGACCTCAGGGACCTGCAATGGGAAGAGTTCCCAAAATACCGGTGACGCTGCCTACAGACCTGTGCGCCACTAACCACAGAGAGCTGCACACCAGGGCATGGGCTGGACCTGCTTATTCAGCCTGGGTGTGCCCATTTCTGAGAGGATCACTGCAGAGATCTGAGTTTCACAGTTTAAGATGCAAAACCAACTCCTAGCAAGTGATTTCTCCCTTTATGTCTGCAGTCTACAGCTCATAAACCTGTAACAGACTTCAGCTTTCATTTTTCATTATTTTAATTTCATTCTTTCATTTCACCATGCACACCATGGGAGTGTTCATCTGTTTCAGGGGACAGAGGAACAATGTTTTGTGTTTCCTCCAGTCCACAGAGAATGGGGACCTGCAACAGGGTCTTGCTTTTATCTTTGGAGTCCACCCTAAGCCCATTGTTGGCACAGCAGTGAGGGTCACACACCAGCAGATCTGGTGGGAGGCATTGAAAGGTGGGGTGAAAACACCTGGAATCTTGGAGGATCAGCACTAAACCATCTTGTTTTCCCATTCCCCTTTTGCCTCATTACCCCAGAACCAAGGGTTTAATTAATAGTTGGGTTTCTGGGTCCTTTTTGGGGCTGATGTAAATCAAGCCACTTCCATGGCTGTGGCTGCACAGATCTGAGCTCTGTGATGGAACCTGTCATTTCTATACCCACAGCTTTACTCATGCACTTCAGGCTCACACACAGGTGATGCCTCTCCTCCTCTCCATTAGTGCCACAGTGAAGAAGCAGTAAATTATCCTGTTGAGCTTTTAAGGAGCCCAGCTCTGCAGAAATATGTGTAAAGCAGTTGAGAACAGTCAATGCCAAGGGAAAAGAAGATCTTCATCATAAAACATGGGCTCATTTAGTGCTGAGCTATAGGCACTTTTGCTTCCTGCTAATTCTGGTCGTGCCATGGGGTTATAGAGCAGAAAACATTATTTCCGAGCAGTTTAACTCAGTAGTGGTGGAAAACAACACAGCCTGACTTTCAGAACTGATATGTGATCTGTCCAGCTGTGCTTCCCATGTGCAGCTTGCACTCGTGTCCTGCTCCTCAGCCCTGCCCTGGTATTCCCAGAGCTCAGAGAACTTGTGGTTTGATATATTTTTGGTGCATGCAGGTGGCAGATGAGGCTGCTCCCAGTGCAAGCCCCAGACACTGAAAGCATTGTCACAGGTCCAGGCTGGGGTAAATCAGAAGCTGCTGGGAGGAAGAGTGCAGAACTGCAAACTCAGGGCTTGGCAGCAGAATGGCCCAACATCTGCCTCAGCCTGGAGCATCCCACATGCCTGTGGACAAGGTTGACATTGTGCATGGGGAAACAGGCTCTGCCAAGGATGTGTTTGCAAAGTGACACGTTCCAAAGGTATTTCCAGCCCGCTTTTGGGTATGGAGCTCTGGGAGGAAGAGGGAAGGGCCAAGCCCTGCAGATGAGATAACACAGCAGGGGCCTCATGCCTTGAAAAAGCAAGGGAAGGAGTTAAAAAAAAAACCCCACAAGCTGCTCAAATCACCAGTGCTTCACCCATCAGTCTGAGGTTAAAGATCCTGACCTGTAATAGCAAAAGCACTGCATGAATTTCTGAGAAGCTTTCAGGAGAGCTTTCCTCGCCCCACAACCCAAGCAAGTGACATTCCACTGCACATCCCTCACGTGGCCTCACTCTTCTCTGCTCTATAAAACTGTGCTGTCCAAAGGAAAATCTGCATAGTGCCTCTTACAGGTGTAACTACTGATCTGAGAGGGGAGGATTGGGTTAGAACCTACTGCTCCCTCACCTCCTGTGCTCCTGGGTGTGGGGGAAAAGTTGAGAAGGCACTACAAATGCCTGTGAGCTGACTGCAAGATCATCTCTCAGATGAGACCTTATCACTCTCTACAACTCGCTGACAGGAGCTGGGGGTTGGTCTCTTATCCCAGGTAACAAAAGAAAAGAGGAAATGGTTCCAAGTTGTGCCAAAGGAGGTTTAGTTTGGATATTGGGAAAAAAAAATTCTTCACCACGAGGGTTATCAGGCACTGGAAGAGGCTGCCCATGGGAGTGATGGAGTCACTATCCCTGAAGGGATTGAAAAGGTAGATGTGGTGCTTGGGGACAGGGTTTAGGGATTGGCAGTGCTGGGTGTACAGTTGGACTTGATCTTTTGGGTCTTTTCCAGCCTAAATGGTTCTGTGATCCTGTTGTAGAGCTCTGTGGGCAGCAGCTGACAGGGCAGCACAGAGCAGCCCGTGACAGGCACCAGGGTGCTGGTTAATGGTTAACAGCAGCAGATGGGAATATCTGGGGACAGGAGAAGGTGCCTGGGCATTCAGGTGAGGAGTGAGGCTGTCCTGCAGTGCACAGCTGGGCTGTCACGCACCTCTCGAGCCAGCAGGGAGTGGTTACATCCTCCTCTGGTCACCTCCTGCCAGTCAGTGGCTCCCTGCACAGAGAGAACCCTCAATCCTCCCGAGGAGCTCTCCCAGCACAGCTCTGGGGGCTGGAGACAGGCACGGAGCCCTGGGAACTGCAGACTGTGGAGGCAGGGGCAGGATGGGCCCATTCTGAAGACAGGTGTGGCCTTGGCATGCCAAGGACATGAGAGAAAATGCTGATTTGGGGCAGGAGTAGCTTTGGCAAGAGCTCTGAAGATGCTGTTCACCCTTCCAGAGCCAGCAGCTCACAGCAGGTTAAGACAGGAGCAGTCTCTGACATGGGGGTTACAACACTCAGGCTGAGAAAACCTGTAGCTGTTGTTCCAATTTATTACTTGGGCATGGTAGTGCCAAATCCATTTTGAGCCATCTGTGTTGGGCTGTGGACAGGAGATATGGGGCTCGTGCGTCCTCAGGCTCATGGGCCAAAGTGCCCCCCTGAAAGAGAGACAGAGATGGTGACTTCTTGCAGCATTGACAGCAAGGTCTGACAGGGCTTCTGGTCAGCCTTGAACCCTCTTCTACATCCTAAAATGTCTATAACCCATCCTTGAAGGTGGGATGCACAACTCTAAGTCTCTGCTAACCAGGAGAAATACCTCAGTGAACATAACTCTAACAATCCTGATGGAATGGCTGTATCATGTGCCTTGGTCTGTCTGTGTCAGCTCTGGCTGGAGTTTTGCAGAGGGACGGACAGCAGCGCATTTTCCAAAATTTGGAAAGAATGGAATTTGGGAGAATTTGGGAGAATGGAATTTTGGAGAATGGAATTCTCCCAGTCTTTGGGGAGGAGGTTTATTCCAGACTCCTGCTGCTGAACGACTCCTGTCTTGGAGCAGAAGAGCTGCCCTCCCCTTCCAGGAGGTTAATCTGCACCTCTCTGGGTGCAGGGGAGGTGACAGGAGGGGCAGCTGCCCCTGCCTGTGTGCACTGTGGGCGTGGGCTCCTCTGCACCTCTGCCTGTTTAATCTCACCCACCACTGCCAACAATTAGCAGGTGCACTGAGAAAACAGGATAGCCCGGGTGGGACCGTGACGTGGCAGCCCTGGCTGCCTTCCAGCCAGAGGAGGAATGCAGCACAGAGGCCCCAGACCAGATCTGGATGTGTTCAGACCGTTGTTTTATCTGGGGAAACTTCCAGAAGCACCCAAATGCCCAAGACCCATCACCCCCTTGTTGCTGTTAAACCCTGCTCCTAATGCTGACGGGCACGAGGTGTTCTTTGGGTTATCTCACAAAGATGGATCAGGTTTGTGCCAGGAAAAACTGGGGTTTGCTGCTGCAGAAAATGCAGCTTTTCCTCTATGCCAAGAAGCTTTAGGGAAGTGCTTGGTGGCAGTGAAGACTGATCTGGAGCTGACCCTTTAGGGAAAGAGATGGAGTCTGATGGGGTGAATTTCCAGAGTAACCATGGGGGAACAATGTGCAGGAAAACAGAGCTGTGCTGTTCCTGTTCCAGAGTGTTTTTCTCAGTTGTACACAAGCCACAACTGGCTGAGCCATATCAGCTGCTGAGTCTTGATATTAAATTACAAACTTCTAGAGATCTTAAGTCCTGATTCAGGACTTAATCCCAGGTAAGGCATTGTGGGAGCCTTGCACTGAGGTGTTTTCCAGTCCCATGTCTGTTTTAAGAAGGCAGCAGGGATTATTGCTTGCCCTGAGAGGGATGAGAGCTGGGAGGGAGCACAGGATACACACAGAGGTTTTCCAACCAGGACCACTGGAAGGAACTGGGTAATAAAGGCAAAACCAAACCCAGATCACCCAAACACGAGCCTGGCAACTCGGTAATGATGCCCAACCTCCTCCTGATCATCCTGTCACACCCTGTCCCTCAGCCACAGAATCATTAAGGATGGAAAAGACCTCTCAGATCACTGAGTCCATCCATTCACCCAGCACTGCCAGGTGCTCCACTAAACCCTGTCCCCAAGTGCCACATCCACAGGTTTTGAACACTTCCAGGACTGGTGATCCCAC